CCAAAGACAAAATAAATATTAACTTCACAGTGAATCAGTTGTTTCACCCATGTTGCATTTATCAGGCAAAATTGGATTGTGGGTGGAAAAAGTTTAAAAAGTACTACTCTAAGATGAGGAACAAGCAAAGGGTGAATAAACAAGATTGGCAAACTCTTAGTTAGACTCACAAGAAAAAAGAGAATCCAAATAAATAGGATCAAAGAGAAAAAGAGAGAAATGAGCATAAGAGGTTGTATGATTAATTTTCCCACTGAGCTGGAGAACTTACAAGAAATGGATCAATTCTTAGTATCGTACCACCTCCAAGACTAAATTAGGGGTGAGTAAAAAATCTGAACATACCAATCACAAGTAAGGAAATGAAAACAGTAATGGCACATTCATTCCCCAAGTACAAAAGTTCAGGTCTAGAAAGGTTCACTAGTGAGTTCTACCAAACCTTTATTTTAAAACTATTAACTGTGCTTTTCAAGCTTTTCCAAAACATTGAACAAACAGGAAGCCTTTCAAACAGGATGCTATAACGCCAGCATTACCCAAATACCAAATGCAGAGAAATTACTAAAAAAAAAGAACTGTAGGCTGATATCTCTGATGAACATCAATGCAAATATCTGCAACAAAGTCTTAGTGGGTCAAATCAAAAAGTATTTTAAGGATCATCTATCATGATCAAGGAGGATTCATTTCAGGGATACAAGGATGGCTTAATATACACAAATCAATTTATGTGATATACCATGTAAATAAAAAGATCAAAATCATGAGTAGTAGATGCAAAGAAAGCTTTTGACAAGATCTGACAATCATTCGTGCTAAAAAACAAAATAAGGATAGAGGAATGTACCTCAAGATAGTAATGGTACTGTAAAGAAACCCACAGCCAGCATCACACTCAAGGGTAAAAAAACTGAAAGCCTTCCTTCTGATAAGGCACAATACAAAGATGTCCCTCTGTCCACTATTATCCAATATAGTCTTAGAAGTCCTTACCACAGCAATTAAGCAAAGAAAGAAAATAAACTAATCCAAATATTAAAGTGTCATAATTTGCAGATGATATATGATAATATACATAGAAGACCCTAATGACTTTACTATAAATACTCTTGACAAATGGGCTGGAGCAATAGGACAGCATGTATGGCATTTGCTTTGCACGCGGCCGACCTGGCCAACCCGTGTTCAATTCCTCTGCCCCTCTCGGAGAGCCCGGCAAGCTACCAAGAGTATCTCACCCACACAGCAAAGCCTGGCAAGCTACCTGTGACGTATTCGATATGCCAAGCACAGTAACAAGAAGTCTCACATTAGAGATGTTACTGAGCCCACTCGACCAAATCAATGAAGAACAGGAGGACAGTGCTACAGTGCAATGCTACTCTGACAAATAAATACACCAGAAAGGTGACAAAAGCAATACACAAAATTTTGTTGCATTTCTAGATGCAAACAACAAGCTAGAAGTTATAAAAAAAAATGTTTAAGATGTGTCCAAAATCAAATGCCTAGGCTAGGAATCACCTTAAAGAATATGAAAGATTTACCTGTCAAAAACTCTGTCACTATGGAAATAGAAGAACACACTGCAAAAATGGTAAATATTTTTACATGTTCAGGGATAGAAAGAATCATCATTGTCAAATGACTATCCTACCTAAAGCGTTATACTGATCCCATGAAATTGCCTTAAAAATTCTGATGACATTCTTTAAGGACTTAGAATAAATGCCACTAAAATTTGTGTGTAATAGTAAAACTCCTCAAATAACCAATGCAATTCTCAGAATAAAAATATGGGAACTGGAGAGGAAAAAAAAAACTGTGGGGAGGGCTTGGAAAAGTAAGATAGGGAGTAAAGTTCTTGCCTTGGATGTGACTGAACCCATTTGATTCCTGGTCACACATGCCAGGCGTGACTCCTGGGTACCATTGGATGTGACCCAAGCCCACCTCCCCACCAAAGTGCAAAGTATTTAACTCCATGACTGTACTATAAAGCTGTTAAAATCAAAATAGTGTGCTATAGCCTTTCATGCTGTCTCCCTGGCCCTGAAAAATACTGTTTTGATGTGGAATCTAAACAGTAGACAAAACTCAGATACAGAAAACAACTATGGTAACTTCTGGAGGAGAGGAGGCTCTCGTGGATGAAAGGGTTAAAGGTTAAAGAGGCACAGATTTATTGTTCTGCATCAGAGGGAGTCATTATATTCACATTGTGTACAGATGTCAAATCATGATAGTGACATTGCATTTATGAAACATTAACATTATCGTAAGTCATGGTGCCTTGATTTTTTTAAAGTCAGATCATTAGTTAAAACTAATTTATGTTGCATTATCATTTATACTTCAGTGATAAGAAATTAGCAATGCCCTTTTAAGCAAAAATTGGGGTCCTGGAAAAGTGTGTAAACTTCCTGGGAGATGCAGCAAGATTGAGGGTGCATCAAATATGTGTGAGAGGAAGAATGCAAACATGAGATTTTAGTGCAGGGGTAGGGGGAATCCCCTAGACTAGTGACTGCAGCCCTACTCTACCTGCAATACCAGTACTGGTCCCTGGACCAGAGATTGAAAACCATTACCCTAGGCTGCAGCTGCAAAACCCAGGCTCTGTTCTGAGAGAAAGTGGTGCTGCAGAGACCAGAGCAATAGTACAGCAGGTAGGGCATTTGCCTTGCAAATGGCCGACCTGAGTTCAATCCCCAGCATCCCATATGGTCCCCCACACAATGCCAGGAGTAATTTCTGAGTGCAGAGCCAAGAGTAATCCCTGAGCATCGCTGAGTATGACACAAAAAGAGAAAGAAAATGGAGCTGTGATTCTGCAAGGTCCATCCTCACTGTCACCCCAATCAATTTGGGGTGGCAGCTGAGGATTTGCAGTTGTGTTTAGGTTCCCAGGTGATATGGATAACCAGGGGTCATCACTTTGAGAATTAGGTGCCACATTTTCATCATGCTCTAACCTAATTTCACCTAAGAGTCTGGTTCTGTGACTCATGCAGATGCTGATACACAGGGTGTTTTTTCACATAAATGCACATCTCAGTTGATAACAAAAGCCTTATTAATGGAAACAGATGTATATGCATACTCTGTCCTTGCTTTCACCTCTCATTGAGAATGTTATATTACACTAGGAGGTGACCAGATGGTTGCTATTTGTTCAGTATTATAAAAGTGGCTGATTTACTAGGGAAATGTACTTTATATCCTATTATTGCTTAATGAACAAGGTGATAAGAGGGAGAAATTCCACTCTTAGAAGATAAATGGAATATTTATTTTGATAATCGACCCAGGAGAGAGTACAGTCTGAAATGGAATCCTTTAAAAAAAAAATGACAAAGCTCAAAGATGACATGAGGTCAGGAAAACACCCATTACCAGAAGATCTATTAATAAAGCATACATAGGAGTAAGAGTGGGTCAGTTGCTTGTCTTGCATGCAGCCAACCCTGGATCCATCCCCTGCACCATATATGGTCGCTTGAACCCCACCAGGAGAGATCTCTGAGCATAGCCAGGTGTGGCCACAAATAAAAATAAATAGACTTAGGGTTTGAATGTAGCTCAACAACAATTGCCTTATGTGTATGAGACCCTGTTTTAATCCCTGCCACATGGCCCCCTAAGAACCCACAGCAATAAAAAAGAAAAAAGTAAAAATACATAAAATACATTTACAGGACTTGACGTTCTGAGATATAAGTCATCCTGGAAAGCCCACCCTGCCACCCAAGAAGGAAAAGGCACACTGACCTGACAATCACTCTTTAGTTGCAGCTGATTCTTTTAAATCCATGTGTTGTACCAGCTTTATTAATACATTCTCAGCCTACAGGCTATCAGAATTTCACACTGATAAACCAGTTCTTTGGGTCTCAGATTTCTCATCTAGAAATGGAAATATTTTGATTCCACTTCCTTTTTAAGGGATTTTGAGTTTTGATAGTACAGATCAAGGCTAGGGAAAGAATTTAGTTTTGGTAAATGGAAAAACTGATGTTGATAGCCATTAGCAGCTTACCAAGTTTCTGTATCTAAAAAAGTTGTTAACCAACTACTCGATAGATTAATTTACATCCAATTCACAGAGATAAGATACAGACAGGCCATGGTTTTTAGTCTTAATATGAAGACCTGGCAAATGACTTTAGATCAGCTCTCCAAGAAAATGTACATCCTCCCCTCTTCTATAGTTTCAGCTGACATAAATAAAATCCAGTGGCCTTAGGCCTTGGCCTGGAGCCCTGTATAGGTGGAATCAGACCATAAATCAGAGGCAGAAAACTTTTTTATGCCAAGGGCCATTGAATATTTATAATGTCATTCACAGGCCACACAATCCAAGTCCACAGTCCACAGACAGCTGGCGAGAAACATCATCATATACTAAGCCAGATCCCAGGATTTCACATACAGGATATTCCCCACCTCTGCAAATGACTAAAAGAACAGAATATTTTTTTTTGCATTTATATTACAGTACATTAATGCTTACATTTTCTGATAGAGGTAGTTCTACTTGTGTGGCACTTCTTAAGATACTCACATTTCAATTGATGTTTTAAAAGGACATTCCTCAACATTCCAAAAGCTTCACTGAAAACTGAGAATCACCATCATTCTTACAAATCTCTGTTGGGGGGCGGGGTGGGGGTGCGGGTAGAGGGTGTCAGAGGCTACCATACTAAATGGTGTCAGAGAGAAACTGCATGCTTCAGAAGAACTGTCTGGGTTTTGCCAGGATGCCAAGGCAGCCACTGACCTCTACCGTGACATTTCCAGCTAAGCTGGTGAGAAGTGGTGATCTAACCAATTATGCAATTGTGGGTTACCGCAGGGCCTTTCTGATGTTCACAAGTTAGATGCTCGCTCTCTTCTCTGGTGGCCATTTCTTTGTTTAAAATGAATTTAAAGCATGTGCAGTCGGCTTCTGTCTTTGCCGTTCCTGCCCACGATCATTTTTCTCTTTGTTCTTACAGACAGACAGCACCATCCGGCCTGGGGTCACAAGTTCAATTAAATGTGGAGGTCCTCTGCCAAGAGCTTACAGCTAACATAATGAAATTAGAAAAGGTGACTGATTTCTTTCCTGTGTCGGGCGCCAATGTGTCATGCCACTGATTGCCACAGCTCAGGGCCACCAGCATGGGTGTACAAGAAAACCTCACTGATCACACCCAGTTTGCAGGTCCCATACTCAGCAATGGGAAAATTCACTTCCACACAGAAGACGGGCTTTAAAGCCAGAGAGATACTACAGAGGGAAGGCATCTGCCTTGTATGTGGCCCGACTTGGATTCAATCCCCAGCATAACATACAGTCCCCCTAAAGCACCTCCAGGAGTGATCCCTGAGCACAGAATTGGGATTAAGGCACAGGTGGGTGAGGCCCCAAAAGAAGGAAGAAAGAAAGGAATGAAGGAAAAGAGAGAGAGGGGGAGGGAGTGAGGGAGGAAGGGAGGGAGGGAGGGAGGGAGGGAGGGAGGGAGGGAGGGAAGGAAACAAAAAGAGAAAGAGAAAGAGCAAGAGAAAGGGAAAGAGAATGAACAAAAGAAAGAACAAAAGAAAGTGAAAGAGAGTGAAAGAAAGAAAAAGAAAAGAAAGAAAGAAGAAAGAAAGAAAGAAAGAAAGAAAGAAAGAAAGAAAGAAAGAAAGAAAGAAAGGTTTTAGCCTTCTTACTGGTCTTTTGGTTTTCCTCTTTGGTTCAGAATTTGTCTCTAGGGTTGTATGCGACCACCAACACAGAGTCCTTGCAGGGATAGTGTCCGTGTCCCTCCCTGGCTCTTACACAGTACTGCATCCCATCCCTGTGGCAGTCCTGGAGACATGTGCCCAAATTCCTATCTGTTAGACTTGCTAAGGGAGAAGCGCCTAGTGAGCTGGCAGCACACGGGGCAGTGAACCATGTCCGCCCGACGTGGCTCTGTGCTCTGGTCACCTCTCCTCAGAATCTAATCTGCTGATAAGGCCACAGAGCTTCCTTTCCCTCCTCAGCACCTTCCCACGGGAAGCTCTAGGGCAAGCCCATGCTTAAGTATTCCACAGCAGAGGAACGTGACCAGGCAAAGGCTGGCCCACCAGAAACATGGCAAAGTGAAGCCCAATAAGCATGTCTATCACTTGCCATTTGATCATTCATTTTCATCCTAGCTTAGAGTTAGGTTTTTCCACTAAAACTGTGACCACGAATGCCCAGTATTTGGTGGTATTCTGTGAGTGTGGGATTATGCTTACTTGGAAGACATGTGAAACAAACCAGTACAATATTCTGTTTCGCATTAATAACTTATCTAGCGCTTAACTACTGAAGGAAGACAGAGCCAAGAGAGCTTCTGTTTCTAAACCAAGGCATGACAGATGATCCTAGGCTAGCAGCATACACCTAGGAGCAAACTCAGCAATTTTCTCTTTTAAACTCACAAGCTGGTCTTCAATAGGAAGCTTGGCACTGGGGCAGGAGGTGGGGGGGTTGTAATTTAGGGGAGGGAACACTAGGACAATGGGGGGGAGGGGAAAAAAGTGCCTGCCACAGAGGGGCAGGTTGGGGAGTGGGAGAGACACTGGGGACATTGGGTACTGGTGAAGGGATTGCTGTTGAAACAGTATACTACTGAAACTCAATCACAAATACCATTGTAACTTTGTAATTCATGGTGATTAAATTATTTTTAAAAGAGGGGACCAAAATTAAGAAATATGGGTAGTCGGTGTGACCCCTGTAGCCCCCAAAGCACTACTCAGGCCATATAACCCTGCATGGCCCAGGTGAGCCCTCACCAGGCAACCACCTGACCTGGTATATATTTTTTTGGCTTTTTTTGGATCACACCCGGTGATATTAAGGAGTTACTCCTGGCTCTACACTCAGGAATCACTCCTGGCGGTGCTCGGGGGACCATATGGGGTGCCAGGGATTGAACCCAGGTCGGCCGCGTGCAAGGCAAATACCTATTTGCTGTAGTATCGCTCTGGCCCTTACCTGACCCAGTATTGATGGGAATGTCCCCCTGCCCCACCAAAGGAGATTAAAAATAGAGAAATACAGGGTATCAATCAGAATTTGTTTCTTTTCTAAAATATAGTTTTTGAGGACTAAAGATACATTTTTTGGTGCTGGCGACTAATGTCAAGCCTCATCTGTGCAAAATCCATACAAAACATGTACAACTGCTGAGGAAACCCCACCCACAGCCCTCTCCCCCAGCCCTGTCTGCTTGCAATAAAGTAATTGCGGATCTTTGGCTTCCAGGCTTACCAAGAACAGGGGTTGGAGACTTGTACTTCTAATTCCTTCTGATATACAAATGGTTTCCTTTGGCCCAGAGGGCACTGAATCCCCCACACCTCCTTCCTCTCCTCTCCTGCAGGCTTTGGCCAGGACACCAAATTCTCTGATAAGATGGGACATGACATTGGGACAGAAAAATAGAGGTGCTTGCTCCCCCCAGGCAGGGAGCAGGCCTGGGCTGAAGCAAGGCAGGTTTTGACTGGAGTCCAGCCACTGGGCTCATAGGCCAGAGCACCCTCCAAAACCACCTTGTTCCAAAACTGCGGGAGGGAACAGTGGATCTGGGGCCAGCATGCATATTCCAAAGTTCCTGAGTGTCATAGATTGTACGCAGCTGCTTCAGGAGCGCTTAGTATGAATCCTGTGTTGGGGGGGGGGGGGGGGGGGGAGAGGTGTGTGTGTGTGTGTGTGTGTGTGTGTGTGTTGACTGCTCTAGCATCTTCCTAGAGGCCCTTGGACAAATGCACAGCCCGGAGGTGATGCAACAGGTCCAGACCAGAGCCTTCCCCACAACATACAGGCGGATGCATTTCACCTGGTAGATGTACTAAGTGCTGTATTCTTAAAGTCACTAAGAGGTTAAGAAAATTCCAAGAGAGGGCCTGGCAAGAGAACTCAGTGGGCAGGGCACTTACCTTGCACATGGCTGACCCAAGTTCGATCCCCATTACCCCATATGGTTGGGCCCCTGAGGTCTGCCAAGAGTAATTCCTGAGTGCAGAGCCTGGAATTACCCCTGAGCACAGCTGGTGTGGTTCTAAAATCAAACACACAAAAAAGAAAAAAATCCCAAGAGGGTCAGAGCTAAGATGAGGGTTAAGGCACAGGCCTTGATCCCATGCACCACCTGTGGTCCCCCAAGTACCATCAGGAGTTATCCTTGAGCACAGAGCCAGGAGGAAGCCCTAAGCACACTGGATATGGCCCCAAAACAAAAACTAAAATGGATTTTTTTCAAACAATTTGAGTCATAGATATTTATGTATAATCACCTCATCTACATTTAACCTATGAAAATTTTTTGTCAAGTTAGAATAATTACCAGCATTTAGCCACAGCAATTAGGCTGCCCTTTCTGTACTTCATCCTGTTTCACACTAGGAACTTCTTTTTATTTCCAGATACAAAACAACTTACAAAAGCTACTTGAGAATGGTGACTGACCAACCCGAGGACCTGGGCCTCCCAGAAACCTCAGGCTTCCCTTAGAAGACAATGCTCCCGACCGGGCCTAGGAAAGTGGAAAGTGCTCCCTGCTGGCGGAGGAGCAAGTGAGCGAGCAGACGGGCAGCTGGACAGGGGCACATGTGCACCAAGGAGGTGTCCGCTCAGGCAAGGGGTGGGGGGAGCTTCAGTTCTTGTGCAATAAAAGTTGACCTTGGCTCTGAGTTTTCCCAGCTGCTGCCTACAGCACATTAACCTCTCTGGGAGGTCTCAGAAAGGGGCAGGGGTGCCTCTCAAATGGTGGTGGTGACAGTCAGCCAACACTCCACTCCCTGCTCCTCATTCCCCCATACCCCCCCAAAAAAACAAAACCCAGTCTCTTCTCTTCTGTCACTGCTTTCATCATCTTTCAAAGTAAAGGCTCCATCACATGCAAACATACTTCAAGCTGCCCCAGAGGCACTCGTCCTGGCTGCCAAAAGCTGGCAGCTCCAACGGACAGACTCACTTCCAACCATTCCCCCAATCCCAACCTTCTTCCCTGCTGCTGTGATGTTCTCCTCGGGCCTTCTTGCATGTGTGAACTCTCAAGATTAACCTCTCCCATCCCATCCATACTTTCCTCTTTTTTTTTGTTTCTCTAACATAATCGGGCTGAGTCTCACCTAACCCAGGTCAAGAATCCTGAAGTGCTCAGTTAAACTTTGAAACCCAAACTAATCTTAAAGCCAAAAACAGCACAATGATTGGATAGAAGATGAAAAACACCAAATTGTTTTAAGATCATAGATGGAGGATATTTGGAATTTAACAGGATGGCTGAACTCAAAGCTGAAAATCCATTTGAGATAGCAATAATAACATGCTCTTATTTTTCACTAAAATGAATTACTGGTGGTTTGCTAACTCTTACTTTCCAAAAGGGTTGACTGGGTTTTTATTAGTGACTCTCTAGGTACCAAAAGATTTGTAAGTATAAGAGATACTCTGTTCCTATCTGCAATGCATTTTATAATCATTTCTATGAAATGTATTTTATTCAATCAAATAAGCTAATAAGTGAATTGGTGATGTCATTTGTATTTGTTAGCCTTCTGGACAAGAACTGTGCCTGGTGCACCCTTTGCTTTTAATAAATACCCATTGGTTAAAAGGCGCTGCTAACACTTGTGTTGTTGCTTCATAACTACTTATAAGACTACAGTCTTCTTAACTGCCTCTCACCTCTTCTCTAACACTAGTACCTCCCCATGCTTCTTTCTTCCCAAGAATTCATTTTCAAAACACATAAATGATTTAACTTCTTGGGGGCTGGGGGTAGAGAGAAGAATTTTGAAGAAAACGAATGCTTGGTTTGTAGGCCCACATTTTGTGAGCCATGTGGCCTCTGACAGTGTATTTGGCCATTACCCCCATTTTACTAGTAAGGTGAGAAGTACTAAGAGAAAGTATCATTACGAGGATTAAAAGTAAAATTGTCTCCAAAGCACACAAATGTGACAGACAAGTACATTCTCAAATGAACTGCATTATTCTTTCAAATGTTTTCCAAGTTTGGGGCTGGAGAGATAGCACAGTGGGTAGGGCATTTGCCTTGTACGCGGCCAACCCGGCTTCGATTCCCAGCATCCCATATGGTCCCCTAAGTGCAGATCCAGGACTAACCCCTGTGCATTGCCGGGTGTGACCCAAAAAGCAAAAATAAATAAATAAATAAATGTTTTCCAAGTTTAACATTCTAGTTTTATAAAACTTCCGTGTCAGTGCTTTACCACATGCAAATGCGGGCAGGGCACTTGCATGTTGCCATCCTAAGTCCCATCCCGACACCACATATGGTGCCCTGAGCCACACCAGGAGTGATCCCTGAGCACAGTATCAGGAGTAATCCCTGAGCACTGCCATGTATGGCCCAAAATATGTAAACCATTTAGAGACACACACACACAAAAAAAATGTTGGCAGTGACATAGAGAAAATTCTTGTGCACTGTTGAATGTAAATTAGTGCAGTTGCCAGGGAAAAATTTGGAATCTCCTCGCAAAAATTCAAACTGTTGTGGTGAAAGATAAAAATTGAACATTTATGGGCTGAGAAGATATCAAAGAGGCTAGAGGAACATGCTTTGCATAAGTAGGACCCTAGTTTGATCCCAGAACTGCACGGACTGCCTCCACCCCCCACCCCCCACACACACACCATCAGGGTGGTGCTTGGGGCCATGAAGTAGCAGGACAGAATTCTGGGTGTACAGATAACTCCAAGCACCAGACAGCATGTTTTATATGCAGGAGTCCAGGTTTTATATCTGGGACCACACAATCCCCAGAGCACCATCAGGAGTGAGCCTCAAGTGAGAGTAGCCTCCTTAGCTCTTGGGGTGGTGCTTGGGACCATGAAGTAGCAGGACAGAACTCTGGGTGTAGTGTGTAAAAGGTCTGCATTCTGGCCTGACCCCTGAGAATTTGTTTCTACCTACTCTTGACAACACAGAAATTCTCCTTAGGGTCTGCTGTCAGTCTCATTCTGTCTTCTAGGAGAGCATCATTTCTCAGAGAACAGTAGAGAAAACAGTAGAGATAGTTGATGTTATCCTGTTCACTGAAAAAATTCAGAGCACAAGATTTTAGGAGAACTCTGAGGTCAAGACACCCCGCCACATGCACTGATCCCTGGAAGGGAATGTAAAGTAATGAAAATGCTTGTTTTCTTTGGGTAGTGAAACTTCACATTACAAAATGGGCTTTATTAATGTTCTTTTTAACTTGATAATTATGAATTATGAATTCCAATCCTTTTCAATACGAAAACTGTTTTGTAATTTGGGGAGAGGGGAAAAGAGAACCCTCACCTTGCTTTTGATAAGTTTCCTTTATCTGCTTCTAACCACATTGTACAACCTCTATACAAACACACACATGCACAGGTGCACATGTGTATGCACACACGTGCACGCAAGCAGAGCACAGCCCTCACACCAGCAATCTCCACATGTGGTCATGGACAGCCCAGTTTCCCATTGAGAAAAAAAAAATGTCTGCTATCGGGTTGAGTCATGCAGAACCCCAGAGCTCACTAAGATTCCACATAGATTGAGGGTGCAAGCCTGCCATGCTCCCAGCCTGGGTTTGATCCTGGGCACTGGAATCACCAGCACTGCTGGGCCTGAGCAGCCTTGAATTCTCATGTCCTTGCACTGATCCTACACCTGCTTAGCCAAAAATTGCTGGTAGGGCTCCAGAGCTCCAGAGTACAGTTTAGGAGGCCTCCAACCCCTGAAAATCCTGCCAAAAGTCTCACTTTCACTGTTCTTTCTAAATTGGCCTTGAGAAAACATGTGGGGTCTGTGATGGGGATGTGGCTCAAAGGACTTATATAGGAGTTCAATGCTACTACACCATAAGATCCTCCAAGCTCACCAGGAGTGATCCCTGAGTACACGCTAAGAGTAAGCCTTGAGCACCACTGGGTGTGGCCCAAAAAACAAAACAAAAACAAATTTTAGGGGATGGAGAGGTAGTACAATGGGTAGGGCACTTTCTTTGCATGCAGAAGTTAATGGCTAGAACCCAAACACCACAAATGGTTCCCCAAGCTCAGGAATGATCCCTAAGTACAGAACCAGAATTAAAACCTGAGCAGCACTGGGTGTAGCTTCCCAAAAGAAAACAACCAAACTTATATAAGGTACTGGAGATGATAGTACAAGAGTTAGATCATACGCCCAACCTGGGTTCAGTTTATGACACCATAACACCATATGGTGCTTCAAGAACCACCAGAAGTGACCCCCAAACATCAAGCCAGGAGTAACTTCTGATCACTGCTGGGTGCTGCCCATAATATAAAACTCATCACAATCATAATAATACTTAACAAAAAGAATATTGCATATAGAAGAGGGATAAAATGCATAGCTTTGGAATGCATTCAAACATAACTTGCTATAAATTAAAATATAGTACAAAATTAATAATAATATGTACAAAAGATATTTTTATCCAAACCTCATGGCAACCACAAAGCAAAAGCTTAAAATAACAAAAGAAGATGAAAAAGAACCTATATACACTGTATATACCATTAAGGAAAATCATCAAACCTCACATGATTTTTTCATAAAAACTTTAAAATGGAATTATCATCACACTTGCTGACTTGGGATAAAGTAATAGTAATCAGAACCATGCATTATTAGGAAACAAGCATACAGATCCATGGAATAGAATCAAGAGTCTAGAAGCAGCCAGTAATGTGGCTCAGTGGTAGAACATATGCCTTGCAAATGTGAAGTCCTTGTTTGAACCCCACCACCCAAAAAAGCCCTGAATAAACGTACACATATATGTACCCTTAATTTATGATAAAGGAGTCACCAGCGTATGATAAAGAAGTCTCTTCCATAAATGTGATTGCAAAACTAGACAGTCACATGCAAAAGAGTAAAACTAGAACATTAATTTTTTTGTATATATACACCATATACAAAAAAGAATTCAGGGTAAAGACTTAGAAGACTTGAAACCACAAATACATAGAACAACAATAAAAATACAATTGGGCTATATAAACCTGAAGAACTTCCTTCTATCAAAAGAAAATACATGGAGAGTAGATACGTAGATTGGTGGGGTTGGGGGGGCACTTGGGTGGAGAGTGTGGTGTTGGAAATTGTACTCATGAAACCAAACCATTAACAGTATTGCATATCATGATGTCTAAATCTTTTTTTTCTTTAATTTAAAAAGAAAATGTGAAAAAAACAGAACTCAGACAAGAGGATAATACTCAAGATAAAAAAAAAAACCGAACAAAAATAATGCATGCAATCCAATTTATTCAAAGGGAGGTTTAAAAAAAATAAAGGGAGGTTTACTAAAGAAGGCATAGAAATGGCCAACAGACACATAAATGATGTCCTTGGGGCTGGAGCAATAGAACAGCATGTAGAGCATTTGAAGTGCCTTGCATGCAGCCAACCCAGTTTCAATCCCCAACATTCCATATGTCCCACCCTGAGAAATGCCAGGAGTGATTCTTGAAAACAGAGCCAGGAGTAAGTCCTAAGCAAGGCCAAAATTTAAAATCAAATGCCCCAAAATGCTCTTCCTTGCTTTTTTTAGGAAAAACGCACATCAAAACCATTTCTGGGGCCAGAGAGATAGTATAGCAGGTAGGGTGCTTGCTATGCACCCAGCTTACCTCAGTTCAATTCCCAGCACCCCATATGGTTCCCCACCCCCAACCGAGGTGATCCCTAACAGAGAGTCAGGAGTAAACCCTGAGTACTGCTATGTGTGACCAAAAAAAAAAACATTAAATTTCATGGTTCACTGGTTAGAATGGCTATTCTGATAAAAAGAAGAATAAA